TCATAAGTTTCATGGGTTGAATTGATATCATATGCAATGGTGCACATCGTGTATTTATTGAGAAAAGTCCAGTTGGATAAACAGTTAATAAACTCTTACAGGAGCTTTGACTTAGAAGATGTAAGTTTTTTCAACATCTCCACAAAAGTTCATTAGAGGCCTAAAGATGGCTTTTTCTGCACTCCTCTCACAGGTGATATTTCTAGGTGGGGACTCTGAGTGGACATAGTCAGGAGTAAGGGAGCTCACTTTATACAAAAAAAAATTAACAGACTAATTTGAAAATGAAAACACTTTTTAGTTTAATATTTTTGTGTAAATATCACCAATGATAGGTGGAATAAAGTAAAGAAACATAACAGCTAACTTTGGAACAACATTTAACTAGAAAAGAACCTGCTCCTTCCCACCTTTGTAATTACAAATGGTAAAACCCAGAGGTGTAAATACTGTATGTAATCCAGTGAAGAATATTTAGTTGGACCACCAAGAGGCAGGTGACCAGCAAGGTGAGGGTAAAGTGTTTCACAAACACTAAGTGGCTCACATGCAGTTTGTCGCTGTGATGAAATACTTGGTTTTGTTAGTTGGTTATGTTGAGCGTTTAGCAAAATTAGGGTGACCATACGTCAGAAATCAAAATATGGTCACCCTAGCAAAATAAGAGTAAAAAGACGTATTTTGAGCTCTGCGCATATTACAGCTAACAGGCTACATGCTAGTTTGAGTAAGCTCTCTTGAGTGAGTGAGGTTTTGGTGAGTAAACATCAAATGAATGCTAAAATTTCTTGTTATACTGTGGGTGAATGACTCAGCAAATGTTTGCTAACATGTATTAGCAGCTTTTACTGCCTCAAAGTGGGCCTAAAATCAATCAGTGCATACCTGAACTCAGAGCTTCCCTGCAGGTCCACGGAGCATTTCAGCCTCTCTAAATTAACTGTTTTGCATTTTATTGCTCTGAACTTCCCTGCCACCGAAAACAACGCCACATTTAAAAGTTAGCTACTTGAAAGTGAAGGTTTTCTTTTTTTTAGTTAAAAAGACTTTTTTGGTTTGATTTTTATGGGAAGACTCAGGGGACTCCTGGACTTGAGTCTTGTAAGAGTATTTGAAAGACATACTGAAGCTAATCAGTGTTTAAAAGAAGCATGACTCAACAGAAATTAGCTAACATGTTGTGCTTGCAGCACTTTCTGCTTAAACAAAAAGTGGCCAAAATTCTACTTGCTCAGTTTTATGTTGGATTTAGTTTATTGTTGGCTGTAAAACCCTTGAATTATTGAAATCCTTGACTGTACAGGACATCTACCTCAATGTTAAAAAAAAAAAGAGCTTCATTATTTGTCGCTAAAACATCTTTTGTATACAAATTTCAGAGCTTTTGAGGTCTTCTGAGGAAAGTTGTTCCCTGTCAGAGCTGATCAGCTAAAATGCCAACAAGAATAGATTCCCAGCATGCTCGGTTATGGACTCAGGAGTAATGTTGAACTCTGTCATAAGTGTTTTTCTGGCTGTTGGTGGTGCAGATGGGGGAAACTACACATGCATGGTTTGGAGTTGAGATAAACTCAGCGTCTCTGTGGGCTGAGCTGCAGATTTTGGGTTTAACCCCTCAGATGTCTGCTGTTCGGTTGCACACCATGGCCCGGGGATCTCTTTCTGTAGTAAATTAATTTACATTTGGAGGATTTTCTAAAGATGCTGGCTTCCTGTGGAGCCTGGCAGATCAAAGTGTCTCATTCTGTGTGTTTGATGATGTTTGATGTTTGCTTTGAGTCTGAATGTTGCTGACTTTCTGCTGTCTTTTACCCACCACAGCGGGAGGTGCTCTTTCCTGCCTTTTTACTTTCTGCCCTTCCTCGCCCCCAAAAATTCGGTAAGTTGCATTTAACTTTTTTTCCGGCTCTGGTTCAGATTTTCTTTGCTGACATGCTCTTAATCAGCCCGTGATATCTACCCAATAAGCATTTGATGGATGCTGTGGGAGCAGGAGGCTGGGTTCAATTCTCGCCCTGAGAAGCACGAAATCTTTGAAATTTGAAATCACTGATCAGGAGAAACGGCTCTGGTAACTTCTGGGCTGACTTGGAAGGAATTAAGAATCTGACTGCACATGATGGAGCTGTTTTTTTGATAATGATGCTGAATTGCTGTTTGGGTTTTCTCCTCATGGGTCCGATACTGTTGTTTCCTTTGCTGTCATCTGATTGGGTGGAGGAGTTGCCGCAAAAGCAGACACGGTGGCTTAAAAGACACTCAATCCGACCTGAAATACTCTCAAAACTGACTTTGTACGACTCCGTGACTCCGCCCCGGCATAGTCGTGTCAGAATATGGTCACCCTACAATATGTACTTCAACGTCAGTGTTTTTGCTTTATTTATTTTTTGCTTCATTGTCAGACAACACACCATATTTCTTATCTGTGTAATAGTTCTTTAATGGCTTTGCCACATTACTAACCTGCAAATGAATACTGTCATCATAAAGGCTAAAACATACAGGATCCGTGTTGAGCGTGTTCCTTCGGCATCGCATATCACACAGCAAATAGGCTGTCGTTCTAATCAATGCAGCACACAGGACGCATCTCAGCTCTGTTGCAGCTCCGTCTCAGAAGCGTGTTGAGCACGGCTCTGTTAAAGATACGCGGCAAGTCTGTTTTCTCTGCTCTATGCTTCAAACACGCATCAAGCTACACAGAGAAAATCGTTCTAGACAGGATGTCAAGCATGGAAACTTCACATGTCATCTGGTATTTCAAAATAAAACACCATATGCAGACTCCTGACTGTGTATCAATTTGTGCAGATGAGAAATACTTCCTGGTTATGGATTTATCAGTAGCACAGAACAATCCAATGGTCAATCCCTGATCCATGTGGACCCCAACAGGACTTTTAACTCTGTCTGAAGGTAAAAGCACAGCATAAAGGAACATAGTTTACTTTATTAATCACTAGTAAACCTGCAAAAACCAAAACTGTAATATCATGTTGCTTTTTCACACAAAGTAGAGGCTCCACAGTCACTGAATTATATCCAAATTAGTAGGAAATAGATGACAGAAAGGCAAAACAACCTGTTGTGAGCATGTTGTTTTCTCGATACTGAGACTAGCTGACCGGGGCTGCACCCTCCATTGTGGTCAACTTTGTCCACTTTTGAGCCACTTTTTTGTGGTTAATCAGTGTGTCTCTCCACTTTTAATCCCCCTGGTGCTAGGGTTGTGAGCGATGGTTGGTCTACATCAGAGTCTGTATATAGAATGGACAGCATCTGCCTCCTTGCTGGGTGAAGCCATTCCGAGAACAGGACCCTCTGTTGACGGGCTGCAGTATAGGTCATAAACTCTTCCTCCGCCAGCAAAGCTTATGGGACTGTGGACAAACTTTAGAAATTTATCACACAGAACATACATTTTTCTCCCCCCTGCTTGTGATGTTGACATGTAGTTATTGTAAGACTGGTTTGTGCTCAAGTCCTCTTTTTTCTGTGAAGCTCCGTTCTTAAAAGTTATTAGGGGGTTCATGTTTTCTATGATTGACACTGACCTGGTACAGCCTATGGGCGTTCAGGGATTGCGTAGCTCACCCGGGGGATACTCTGTTTGAGCCAAGCGTCATCACAGAGACTCTCGGCGACTCTCCCTCCGAATGCGCACAACACTACTACGCAATGCTGGTTTCAGGAAATGAAAAAAAATCCCGGGAAAGCCGAGAGCTTTTTAGCTTCAAATCCATATGCAGGCGGGAGGCGGAACCAAGTTGTCCATAGAATATAAAGTATATGGTCTACATTAAAACTGTCTCCATCCACTGTAGTGTGCAAATACTGGCGTTCAAAAGTCTCGACCTTGTAACACTTATCACATGGAATAAAAACTGTGATTAATTTTCAGACTCCTTGTACACATTGAGTCAATTGTTCAACCAAGAAGACGCTCATGAAGCCTCGTGACAGACTGAGTTTTAAAGAGGTTTTAAGGTCCCATTGCATACATTTGAAGCAGAAGTCACTTCATGAGAAGGCCTGACCATGCATATTAATCATGAGCTTATAATCAGTAATATTTAATTGAGCAGCCCTGCTATGAAGTAAAGTTTGGTACAATTAAGATGCTGTGGTTATTTAAAAAGAGAAAATACAGAACATTTTTCAGGAGTTTTCTTCCTCTGTAAAGCCACCCAGCAGCTTAAAGTTATTTAAACTGTCATTTTTGTAACTCAAGTTTGAGCATGAATCATCAAGCAAGGTGATGTTTGATTAGTTTACATATTCAGTGAACTGATGATGTCTTATTCTCTCACTTTGTCTCCCTCCTCAGTGACTGACAGTGAGTCTTACAGCGCCTAGACGTGTGTTTAACATGCTCTGTGAGGTCTGTAGACGTTTGACGTCAGCTCTGTGGACTTTTCTCTGAGCACGCCCAGACGTCAGTCGTGTTGGTTTAGCCTCATTATCCTCACGTTTCTTCAGAAGAGTGTTTACTCCTCTCTCTCCATCTGAACTGTGATATTCAGCTGACCTCAAAGCTAACTACCAGTCTGTGTCTCCCCCCTTTTCTCTCCCCTGCCTCCCCTCCTCTCCTTTCTACCTGGGGCAAAGTCTTATGTAAAACACATTTATTTTTAATAGATTTTTTAATGAATTTTTTAGCTGCCTATTAATAATGCCATTAGTGGTGGCAGAGCAGCGTCAGACAGCAGCCTGGCCTGCTAATCCTGCCCCCCAGCTCTGGCAAACCCGGCTAATCCAGGCCCCTGCTTTTGGTTCCAAGAAGGCCTCACACACACACACACACACACACACACACACACACACACACACACACACACACACACACACACACACACACACACACACACACACACACACACACACACACACACACACACACTCAAAGGTGTGTGCAAACACATTTTGTATGTAAAACACACTGACACACATGCAGGAGTGTTGTTTAATCTTCATGGTGTGTGTGCTCAAAGTTGCTCTTATTCACCATCTCTGTCTTTTTGCACGCCCCCTCCTTCTCCATCTTTCCTCCTCCTCCTCCTCTTCATCTTCTTCACCCGCACACCAGTCCTCCTCCTCATTCTCCTTTTAATCCGTCTGTTGCTCCCTCTCTCCTCCCTTCCTTCATTCATACCTCCCACCTTCCCTTGCTTCTCTCCCCTCCTCTCCTCTTCCATCTTGACCTCCCTCCCTCGTTTTTTTCCCCTCTCTCCGTCTTCGCCTCCCTCCTCTCCAGTCTTTCTTCTTCTTCTCCCCTGGGCGCCCAGCAGGCCTGGCCTTGGTGCTCGACTCCTCATGGAGGCTCCTTACCTGAGGCCCTGACTGTTTGCAGACACACACACACACACACACCCACACACACAAACGCACGTTTGTGGATGCTGCAAAAAGTCAGAGTAGAGCAGGGAAATAGTGAGCCGCTTAAAGCCTTAATAGAATTTGAGCCGGGCTCAGAGCACGCTGGAGAAAAGGTGTTAATTACTGCTGGTTTTAATGCTAATTAAATGTTTCAATTAATGGCCTGTTTGTTGCCAAAGTGTGTGTCGGTAATTGACGAACAGCAATAAGGTGTTTGAAGGCATTAAAGAAAGAGACAAAGAGGGAAAGAGAGAGAGGGAGAGGGAGTGCTCTACCTCCTACATGTGCCAGAGCCTGGAGCAGTGCAGCATGGGAAATTTCATTCATGAGGTGCGGAGAAAAGAGCTGGAACAGATTCAACACAGCTGCTTTCCATAAAACTCTTCATGGCCTCCATCAAATGTTAGTGTGTCTGTCTGCTGTGCTGCTGGACTATCAGTGTACATAATGATCTGGATGTCTGACAGGAGGACAATGTGAACAGGCAGACGGCAGACAAGTTTGTGTTCAGTTGTCAGAGAGCAACTTTCGAACAGATAAATACGTCAAAACCCATGAATAAATCTGAGAGAACTCTTTTCTTTGACTCCAGGCTGATGGGGTTTATTTTGCAGGGACTAAATAAAGAATGGACGATGTAACTGCTCCAACAAAGACATGAAAGTGAAGCCAACACATAAAGATATCCTCAAGTACTGCCTCTGCACGTGGTTTTCTAACTGCACAATGAGAAGCAGGAAAGACCTCCAGAGGGTCACTAGGATGGTTGAGAAGGTCATGGGGGCTCTCTGCCCACACTGGAGGACCTTCACAGCTATTACTGCCTCAGGAGAGCCACCAACATCATTAAGGACTCATCCCACCCGGGCCAACCCCTGTTTGAGCCACTGCTGTCAGGCAGGCGATACAGGGCCATCAAAGCCAGGACAAAAGACTGCAAAACAACTTTTTCCAAAACGCTGTCAGTTCCATCAACGCCTCCATGAAAGCCAGGTGATGTGTTGCCGATGTATTTATGGGTGTAGTTTTGATTCTTTTACTAGTTTCAACTCTGCACTGGTTTTACTGTCCCTTTTTTAATGCACTGACTGTAAAGGCATTTTTTAATTTCGTTGTGCTTGTCACAAATCAATAAAATTCTATCTACCAATCTATCTTACTCTCTGTAATTTTGGTACAGGATTGGAACTGTTGTACATAATATTACCAGAATAAAACTATCATGTTGTAAAAATAAAGTTCTGTTAAAATCATAGTTTTGGCTCACAGTGAGCAGCCAGCTGTCTGTATTAAAACAAGTACAGTGGATTGTTTGGTTCAAGTGTCTCTAATGTTTTGTCTCCTCTACTCCATTTTGTTATAAGTATCAGAACTCTGAAAAGACCGAGCAGAAAGCTAAGACCTGTGGTATCTCTGTCCAAAACAGCTTTAAGTACGTGGCTATGTCTTAATATTGGAGTTAGTAAAAGAGTAATAAATCCTATAATTTATGATTTTACCTGATTCTTGATTCTGAAAAGCCAGATCTCTGACAGAAACCCTAACTGAGCTCATTCAGGCTTTATTTTTCTGTAAACTAATGCACCTTTGAATGAAGAAACCTCTTTTTAAGCCCAAAACCCACAGAATGTGTGCATCCAGAAATACATTCCTACTAGTTTGTCTGTTATGAGCTACTGTAAGAAACAAGGTGATGTGACATGGCAGCCTCCAGGTCAAGGACCCCCTGCTTCTATATTATGAAAGACGTTTAATAAGTCTTTGAAACGATCATGATACCCCATTTAATATAAACTGGTTTAAACAAACTGCTGCATTATGTATGCTGCGACATTCTACACAGAGCACCTTTAAATTGGCCTGTGTGTGTAAACTTCTTTTTAGAAAAAGTAAAAGTATTTGTTTACTGTGCAGCAGGCCTGTGATCATCTTCATGAGTATGTGTGGAGATTGTGTGTGTGTATGTGTGTGCAGCTGTAGGTGATACACTGCAGACACGTACAGTCAATCACGCTGAATTATGACGGTGACACTTTCACAACTGCTTTGTGTTCACTTTACAAACCCCTGCATGTGTGTGTGTTTTTGCTTGTGCATACCCTCCTCTATTTATATACATACGTGAATGTGCGTGTGTGTGTACGTTTGTGTGTCTGTGTAAATGTGTGTCACACTTGCTGCACACTGATATGAATTCCATCTGACTCGGTATGCAAATCAAAAAGACTTAAGGTGGGGTACTGCTTATTGCCCGGTGGCTCTGTGGGCAGTGTGTGTGTGTGTGTGTGTGTGTGTGTGTGTGTGTGTGTGTGTGTGTGTGTGTGTGTGTGTGTGTGTGTGTGTACAAGTTTTTGCATGTGTGTGTGTGTCCTAAGGCTTTTAGGATAAGGATGTGAAATTCCAGATCAGCGTTTCGGTGCTGAAGCCCGTGGGCTGCTGTCAATCTTGCTGACACACACACACACACACACACACACACACACACACACACACACACACACACACACACACTCTCTCTCTCTCTCTCTCTCTCTCTCTCTCTCTTCTCTCCCTCTCTCTCTCTCTCTCTCTCACACACACACACACACACCTATGTGAGTTTCAGGCTCAGATTAGCATAATTAAGTCATTTGTTGTGGTTGCAGCTGATAAAATCATTGAATTATTCAATACCAACAATATCGCAAGATAGATAATCTGTGTGTGTGTGTGTGTATGTGTGTGTGTATGTGTTTGTGTGTGAGAGAGAGAGAGAACACGTGTGTTTTCATGTGTGTGTAAAGGTGTCACTGTGCACCTCCTCTCCATCACCCACAATGCACTGCGCTCCTGGCAATGATCCGCAGGGCCTGATCAATTGCACCTCCACCCAGGATCACAACAATCCATCAACAAACTCAGTCATTAATTAGTAACCATGGCAACAGCAGCAGCATCCACCCATAGTTCAGTGCTTTTAAGACTTCTGAAATGGTTGTAAATGAATCATGTTTGTGTCACTTTTCTTCTATTGTCAGAAAAAAAGCCTTAAATTGGACCTGTAAATTATAGCGTCAGCATCTTCTGCATGTCTGAGAGCAGCCAGAAGTTGTGATGGAGATGGAGGAAGAAGAGGAGGAGGAGGAGGAGGGTGGTGATAAAAGTACTTTGAAGTACAGCGGTTTTGCGCCAAGGACAATAGGCAGAGTTTGATGTGAGCAGAGGAGTGTTGTGATTGTGTGGGTGCAGGGCGTCAGTGAAAATGAAATGGTGCTCATGGAGTAAAACTGCAGCTGTGGAGGTGTCGGCTTTGTTTACACCTCATATGGGAACACTTAGTAAGATTTAACTGTACAGAGCTTTTCAGTGTAAATGCAGAGCTGCTTAAAGATTAGTTTAGTCACAGCTCCCTCTTATCTAAAGATTTCACCAGTATGATTACTGCTGTTTTAGTTTGTAGTCACTTGTTTCACATTGAGTCAGTCTTTTATATGCAAATCAAAAAGTGGATATTTTACAGCATTGATCCACCATGAGTAAACACTTGGTGAGGGAAGAGCCCCCTAAATGGGCAGAAACCTTGAGCAGGACCAGACTTGTTGATGAGCGACCATCTGCCTCAACTCGATGAACCTGGAAAGTGGGATAGACACAAATAGAGTTACGGACAATGTACATTTAAGGTTGAATTACATTAGATTAGTATTTCAGCAAGTTTCATGCAAAGGCTTTGGTACCACTGGAAATCATGGGTAGTGTTAGACACTGAAGCCAATAGTTTAAATCAAAGACTGTGCAGGGGGTTCCCAAACTTTCCAGCCATTTTTTTGTTGTATTGGACTGTAATCCACATGAAAACAGTGTTTCAGGTGACTGTAAATGTTTTATTTTTAATTATTTTTTAAGGCGATTTTTACAGTTTATTGATTGGACAGGGTGAAATGTGGGGAGACTGAAAAAGAGGGGGGAGGCCATGCAGCACATTATCAGGGCCAGACTCAAACCCACGGCTGCTGCAGGGATCATAGGCCTCATACATGGGGCGTGCCAACCCGCTCGGCTATCTATGTGCCCCTGTAAAATGTACTTTCTCAAAATGGGTCAGCACGTGCACAAATCCATAAACGACTACCATTTCATCTCTGTGTGGATACCTATCTACATCTCTGGAAACGATTATGTGACATGCAGCGTAACTCTTTAATGGTGGCTGCGTGTGTCTGGCCAAAACAACCTTATTATACATGCTCTGTACTCTTCTTCTGTCTTTTGTGCATTTCCTCGGCAGCGTTACAGTGCCACTTACTGGCTTGGAATATGCACTACCGAGTTTTCAGTGGTTTTGATTTGAGAGATGATAGAAAAACTTATTAAAGTAAAGTTTGGTGAAGTTGTCACTGAATAAAAAATCTAAATCAAAAATTTAGTTTTCAGAGAAAAATCAGGATTTTATTTTTGGCCAAGACCCTGCAGCCCTATTTCCTGCTAAAACATATTGCTGATTGTTTTGGGACATGATCAGTCAACTGGGAGGCAAGCTGAAACATCTTTATATTTCCTATAACCACTTGCTTTTTATTTTACTGTAAGAGTGATGGCAGCACCAAAACAAAGGAACAGCAAATGGTAACTGCAAAATACAGATCAAAACTTTAAAACTAAACTCATTATTTTCAAACTTATAACTTTCTTTTTTATATATTCTACATGCAGCCTCCTCTAGTTCGTATCTCTCCCTCAGTGTTCCTCTTGAAGCTGAGCTGGATTGAGCTCTCTGGCAGAGAGGTAAATAAGGAGGGTGATTAAGGGGAATGAAGCGCGAGCCCTCGTTATGTTTACGTCGTCTTTCTTTCTAATCAACATTAGTTCAGACTCATTATTCCTCTGAAGCAATTGGAGCCTCCACACACTCATAACCTCGTCCATTACTCTCTGCTGTTGAGCAGGAGGGGAGAGACCA